AGAATCAACATCATTTTGGCACATAACTTCACAAAACTTCATAGTGTTTGGCTTAGAACAAAATTTTTGGTTCAAAAAAATTTTCCTCGGTTGGTTTAAAGCATTACATTCTAAAATATAATGATATTCATCTCCTATCTGATTTCTATCACATAAGCTACAAAATCTTTCATTTCTTTGAGTACCATTCCATCTACCTATTTCAATTGGAATTAAGATGGTGGTTTGTGGTTCTAAATTTAACTAAAGTTTTTCTAAATTTACATGATAACAGTGTTAAATATTTTTCGCACTCAAAATTGGTTTTAAAAATTCTATAATTTAAACTTTTTGAAGATTCTTGAACTTCACTATTCCACTTTTGAATATACTGATCTTTTAATCTTTGTTTGACTGTAGCAGTTATCCATTCTACATTATAGAAATATTGCTCATACCATATATTTGATAAACTACATCTGTCAAAAATATTTTGTACAAATGAAATCCAGGAGTTTGTCATTTCTCCTTTATCATATTGTTTACGTAAATACATAAATACAATTCTACACAATTTGTTTCCTTTTCCATACACAAGTTTTGCCCAGTATTTTACCATTCTTGAGTAAATATTTATATATAATGGAAACCGTCCAGTTTCTCCATAAATCATATAACTTGGAGTAGTACTTTTTAAATTCAATATATGTTTCAGAAAACGTAAATGTACTCGTTCAATAATATCAATATTTTCATAACCCCATATTTCACAGCCATATAACAATACTGGTAAAACTACTTTATCAAACAGATCCAATTGACATTCGAAGGGTAGATTAAATTGTCTAATTTTACGTATCACACTATACAATCCCTTTCGTGCTTGTTCACATAGGTGTTTTCTTGCTTTACATAATGAGCCTGTACGAGAAAATACAATTCACAAATAATTAAAATCTTTGACTACTTCTATGACACTGCCATTATATGTAAAAATATTTTTTGGTTGTCTACCCTTTGAGAAAATAAGTATCTTTATTTTCTTAATATTCACACACAACTTCCATTTTTCACAATATATGTAAAATTCATTTAATGCTCTTTGAAGATCGTCAGCCGTTTCCGCAAGTATTACAGTATCTTCGGCATAAAATAAAATAAACAGTTTCATAAACAAAAACAGCTCATCCTCTATACCTTTGCTAATGCTAGACAAACCGACAATATTCTTTTCTATCAAAAAATCTTCCAAGTCATTGATATACAATGAGAATAAGAAGGGCGATAAGTTTTCACCTTGTCGTACACCAACGTTACAGTTAAAAAATTCTGAAGACACACCATTCATCTGTATTCTAGATTTGATACCATTATACATATTTCTAATAAAAGTAAAACATTTACCGTTTACCCCACTTCTGAAAAGTTTACACCAAAGACCATCTCGCCATACTGTATCGAATGCTTGTTTGAAATCTATAAATGCACAAAACAATTTTCTTCTGCTGTTAATTAGTGTCTGCGATAAGAATTGTAATAATAAAATATTGTCCAAAGTAGAGTAACCTTTTCTGAACCCAGTCTGGCTTTCTTTAATGAGTGTGACATCTTCTGCATAATTCTCTAGCCGATTACTTAAGATTACCAACAAACCAACACATACCCCTAATCGGCCGTATTTCCGAGAATTCGGTATTTGGTGGTAATTTGCTTTATATAAATTATATTATTTTACAACGTATTCTTTAATATTTCTTAAAAACCCATTCCAATAAGCAAAAAAGAACAGATTACATTAATCACTGTTTATCAGAAAATAAGATTTTTACTGGGAATAAACGTTGTGTTGTGTGTGATGTTTTGGGCGAGTGAACATGGTACTGAATTTTAAGGAGTTGCCTATCCCGTTAGTATATAGGTTCCTGTCATCAGGCATGAATTACCCTTACCTGCTGAGTTCGTTTATATGATAAGCACGCTGATTTATATAAAAACTGCAATTATGTAGTATTTAGATAACATTTTAGAAATGTTGAATTAAACAATTAAAAAAAAAAACAAGATGTGTTTGTGAAACACTGATGCTCCCGTATGGGAACTTATAGCAAAGGTTAAACTTTCTCAAATGCAAGTCACAAGGATTACATAAGTGAAGTATGAAAGCCCTAGCACCAACGGTTCAATAGTTATGGCCAAGGTTAAAGTTTTCCAAAAGTAGGTCAAACTCCAAGGTCAGTGTTAAGGGTCAAAGTTGTTGGTATCCAGAGGAAGGTCTTGTCACAGGGATTACATATGTAAAGTATGAAAGCCCTAGCACCAACGGTTCAATAGTTATGACCAAGGTTAAAGTTTTTCAAAAGTAGGTCAAACTCCAAGGTCAAAGGTCAAAGTTGTTGGTATTCAAAGGAAGGTCTTGTCACAAGGATTACATATGTGAAGAATGAAAGCCCAGCTCCAATCGTTCAAAACTTATGGCCAATGTTTAAGTTTTTTTCAAAAGTAGGTCAAACTCCAAGGTCAAGGTCAAAGGGTCAAAGTTGTTGGTATCCAAAGGAAGGTCTTGTCACAAAGAATACACATGTGAAGTATGAAAGCCCTAGCACCAATTGTTCAAAAGTTATGGCCAAGGTTAAAGTTGGGTAAAATTTTACAAAACTGGGTCAAACTCCAAGGTCAAGGTCAAAAGGTAAAATATGGTGGTACCCAAAGAAAGGTCTTGTCACAAGGAATACACATGTGAAATACAAAAGCCATAGCTCCAACCAATCAAAAGTTATGGGCAATGTTAAAATTTTTGCGGACAAACAGACAAACAGACAGGCAGACAGACAGACGGACGGAGAGGGCAAAAACTATATACCTCCGAATCTTCGATACGGGGCAGTGGCGGATTTAAGGGGGGCGCACCCGGCGCGCGCCCCCCCTAAAATTGTCAAAGTTAGCGTAATTCATAGTTTCGTCGAGAAAATGTAAAAATTTCTATTTGGTAGACCTCATTTTTACCCTACAAAATCTCTAGAATCCAGACCCCCTGCCTACTTTTGGCGCCCCCTCTAACTTCAAATCCTGGATCCGCGCCTGCGGGGGTATAAAAAAGTTTATTTATCTTTTTATTATTTCATCCGTTTAAAATCATACTTAATCATTTCATTTCTGAAATGTTTTATTCATTTATTCTTCTATGTATATTAATTTTTTTTAAAAATTATTTTGTCATTGCAATTGGAATTATAAATTCTTTTAATTCTTCATTCATGCCCCCCCCCCCCCCAGTTTCTGAGTATAATATTTTGTTAGAGTAAATTTTCCTTAAGATGCCCCCCCCCCAACTTTTTGCTCCTGCACTGGCAAATCCCAGTATTTGGATAGTTAATAAGTGTCTTTTTTTTTGCTTGTCAGATTATTTTGGGAATTTCCCCCTACTTTTTTTTGGGGGGGGGTGTCAGATTTTGGGGGGGGAGTAAGCCCCCCCCCCCACACACTTTTGAAATCGTTGTTAAGGGCCTGACTCTTATGGCCAGGTGGCATAGTCCTATTTTTTTAACAATAAATGTGTTTTTGATGAACACAGAGGAAATAGTTAAATCGTGATTCGTTGATAAAATATTCCTGTAAACAGGTTATACAGCATCAGAAGCGTCTATTAACCAGTCCTTTCTAGCTTGCTGTCAATCTAGCTTCTTATTTCTTACAGTAGTAATCCACTTCTGTGTTTGTGTTCATAATTCAACACACAATATCTGCTAGTACCTTTTAACGTATTTGAATACAAAATATGATTCACAGAAACCTTAAACTAATTTTACATAATACAAGGTATGCAAATTTAACACCGTACTGTTATGCATTTACGAAGAAGATTTTTGTTGTACAACTCCATGTAAGAAAGAAGGAAAATGATTAGTAAAATGCATGTTAATCATCAAACATCTGAAAGATGACCTTCATGTAAATTTACATGCAAAAGTAATTTTGTGTTTTGGACAATGACATTAGTACATGATATTTTGAGGATTAAAAATATCAGCCTTCTGCTCTATCACACTATAGAGCACAAATCATTGGTGGATGTTGGTATTTTTCAGGGGTGGGGAGATCCAGTTTAAAAATAAAAACTTTGCTCCATCATTTTTTGACAAGCTACAAATAGGTGAATGGCGAACCATTTAAGTCTGAATCATAATATCTCACAAGGAAGATTATCTTTTTGTAAGACTTTTACAGGGTTGTGGGAGGAAGGTTTCCAAACTTATTTTAGTGCGCTTTACTCTTTACATTTGCTTAAAATGATTTTTTCTGATTCAGTCTATAATTTTGTTCAAATTAAAGCATTCTTCTTGTTCAGGGGTTTTTGGTTTTATGTGGAAGATACAACGTACAGCGTAAATTCTTCGTGAAAAAATTGATATAATCTGCATTACAGGTACTTGTGAATCGATCTAATCAAAAAGCTTCATTTGAACTTTTCATTCATCCGAAAAAATGTTTGATGAAATATCCAAACAACGACTGAACAAAGTAATACATGTATGTAGGACTAACAGGTGTTTAAAAAAATTCAAGAAACTAACGGATTACCGGGAGTAGAAATGCTACAAAACCTGTAACCTTAGTATGAACATTTAGGAAATGCATGAATACTTCATGCTAATGTAACAACTCGAAAATCTTACCAATTAGTAAGTTTTAATTCTGAATTCTAAAACTTTGATGTAACATTTATATTTACTGCAACTCAGAATGTCTACCTTGAATATCCAAAACTTAATTCTTTACAACGATACAAATTACTTACATACATGGTGTGCCCTATAGAAGGTCAAGGGTCATCGATGATTACTGAAATATAACACTTTATTGTCATTTGGCCTGTTTCGGTTTGTACATACATGTACGAATGCTTTTAATGAGAGTAGCGACAAGGGCAATATTATCAATACATTGTGGAGTATTATATTCCTTCTTTTTCTCTCTTACTCTTAAATACAATATTTACAATATGCGATTTTTTTTCTTTCTAGACGAATGACTTCTGTTCCATTGCCCTTCAGCAGTTCACATGCGTAAGTAGCTACTGTTGATAGTTGGTGGGGTATACCAATACAGTAAGAGAGACAACTCGTGTTTATGAGAGTATTCGATATACGTGTGAGTAGTATAAAGGAGAAGTTCGTGCGGTACTCCTTCAATCGATGAGGATTCATCGGTACAGATATTTACCCTAAGTACAATACATGCAGGACGATGTCATATCAATTAGACAGCACGTGGGGGAGGGAGATGTTCAGAAATCAGACAGCACATGGTGTGGGGGAGGTATCAAAAACGTGAAAACGGCTGTAGATTTTTTAACAAAAAGAGATAAAATTACGTAATTCTTCTTGGCACTTATTTCTATTTTTAAAGTGCTTTATTAATTCTTAACATCTTTTTCCAAAAGCCATAGATCGTCGATATAAAGAAACCAAAATTTTTCATTAAAATTAGTTAAATAATTGAAAGAAAAACTCCTCTCTCTCTCTCTCTCTCTCTCTCTCTCTCTCTCTCCACTGTGGAATGTTTGATCTTTGTAACTAGACGAGATCGTAACGGCTTATAGTTGGTGAGCTGTTATCACATGACGAGGGTTACTTTTATGGCGTTTCTTTTCCTTCTCTATCTCGAAATCTGACAAATTACGTTATGGTCAGGTAAGCCCTTGTATCGACGTAAAATGCCGGTCTTCTTTCCGCCTGCAGCCAGAGATGAAAAAGAAAAAGGTTCGATTTGCGTCGAGGTGAGTGTAAACATTCCTGATAATCCTCGAGTTGATGGGATAATTTATTTTAACTATTCTTTATTAATTAGTTTACTTATACATACGAACATCGTTACGCAGTTAGATGTAATATATATTAAAGACTGTGTCTTAATCAGACGCACGTACGTAGTTAGATGTCTAATGTTTTTCTTTAACATGTCGGATTTGTTATTGTCTAAGGATTTTACAGAAGAGAGAGTCTTGACTTTTTTATGCCTATACATGATTTTGTGAATTTTTTCAAATGTCTAAATAGCCATTTGTCACTCAATGATCTCCGTTTTAAAATGCACTTTGTTTTAATGATAACGTATTCCTGGAATATATACTTGGCAACCACAACAAACGTTACTTCTCCACCGATCTGCACCAGAACTGTTGTTTAGATTTTGTAGGAGCTGTGCTAATTAAGTTTACAGAATGGGATGATATATCTTTATCATTACCCCCTCTGTGAATTCTATACGGCATATCATCTCAAACTAGGATATCGCTCTCGTTCAGTGAGCTGCATAAGTAGACGAGGAATGATATATAGTCAGACCTGTCTTCAAAAATTTTGATAAAAGTGATGAAACCAGGAATCATGAACGACTGTTGTCGGTGATTTAATTAAATTTTATTTTCTGTAACCCCCCCCCCCCCCAACACCAAAAAGTAAACCTGATTTTCAAATAGGCTTAACCTGAAGGATCTACAATTGATACGGAAGCATATTTCTATAAAGTTGAAATGAAAACAATGCCATACAAAGAACGATTTTTTTCGCCACCTCCTTTTCAATATGATGTTTATTTTGAATACTGAGATTTTGTTTGGATAGTCTTTCTTGTATCAGCATTGGCCGATAGACATCGGGGCAAGACGGAATCGATTTTATAAGTAGAATATGATAAGCAGGCATTTTCATTTCAAACTCCGAAAGATTTTTTTTTTCATTTTTTTAAAACAAGATTTCTAGGAAATGTTGTACTGTGTCATCTTTGGAAGTTAAAGTGTAGGAAAAAAGTGACTGACATCCTGAAACATTTGGGAGTTTAGTTTATCGGAATGATGCATGTGAGTTGGCAATCGTGTCGTGGATATCAAAATAGACACTAATACTGGACATCGAAATAGACACTTATACTGGACATCGAAATAGATACTTATACTGCACATCAAAATAGTTACTTATACTGGACATCAAAATAGACGATTATACTGAACACAAAAATAGACGTTCATACTGAACACCAAAATAGACACTTATTCTGGACATCAAAATAGACATTTATACTAAGCACCAAAAAAAAAAACAAACAAACAAACAAACAAACAAACATATATATTGGACACAAAAATAAACATTTATACTGGACATCAAAATAGACACTTATACTGAACACCAAAATAAACATTTATACTGGACATCAAAATAGACACTTACACTGAACACCAAAACGGACACTATACTGGACATCAAAATAGGCTTTTATAATAGAGACTTATACTGAACACCAAAATAGACACTTGTACTGAACACTAAAATAGACATGTATACTGGATATCAAAATAGACACTTATATTAAACACCAAAATAGACACTTACACTGAACACCAAAATAAATATTTATACTGGAACATCAAAGTAGACACTTATACTGAGCACCAAAATAGACATTTCTACTGGAACTCAAAATAGACATTTATACTGGACATCAAAATAGACACTTACACTAAACACCAAAATAAAAATTAAACTGGACATCAAAATACAAACTTATTCTGAACACCGAAATAAACATTTACACTGGACATCAAAATAGACATTTATACTAAGCACCAATATATATATATACTGGACACAAAAATTAAACCTTTTTACTGGACGTATACTGATACAGTGTGTCAAATAAATTGAGTATTTAGTAAGATTCTAAATTTTTATTATGACCGGGGTATATTATATTTGGGCTAATAAGTCATGCAAAATGCCTATAGCTCCAAATATGTAAAAATCAAATTCAATTTGTGAAATATGAATTTAGAGATGATTGATTGTATGTTGTTTTACTTCCCGTTCGAGAATTTTTCACTCATATAGAGACGTCACCATATACCGGTGAAGGGCTTCAAATTTAGACCTTTACTCGGCACTCAGGGCCATTGAGCAGTGAGGGTTCTTTATCGTGCCTACCGTGACACGGGGCCTCGGTTTTTAGGTCTCATCCGAAGGACCCGCATTTTTCACTTCAAAGTGCCGAACGCCTGGCGAAGGAACAGTTTCTACCTATTTTTTATCGACTTAGGTCAGTCGCGGTCGTGATTCGAACACACGACCTTTCGATCACGGAGCGAGCGCTCTACCGACTGAGCTTATCGTGACGGTTAATTTAGAGATGAAGGATGAAATTAACACTTGCGATATTGTTGCAAAGTTTGGTGATTTACATAAAGAAAACATTAAGTGAAATATCTATAAAAAAAAGTGATATGATTTAGATTTAATTTTTTCACTTCTTTATTTGATGAACCATGGGCTTTTTTCTCAGCTTGTTTGGCCATCTCCTTTCTGATTTTGACCTTCCCTATCACTCTAAGCTTCATTTTTTTTTTCAAAAATATCTTAATTAAAATTCTTACAAAAATCCATACTGGTGAGGGCAATTCAACAATGTCTCAATTTTCTGGCCTTTGACTTTCCTTAAGACTTTGACCTTCCTTTGAACGTGCACTTGTTATCACCTTGAATTTTACTTTTCAAGTTTTTTTGTTAATCAATCAAATCAGATTTGTTACACTGATAGTGGTTTATCTAATTGAATTCCACAAAGATTACTTGATACACTTCCATATACAGCTAGATAACTGTGAGACATTTCAACCATACCTTCTTTCGATATATATAAATCTGCTACATATGAGACAATGAGCTTGAAACTGTGAGACTTCATTTAGCTTTTTTAGATAGGAAGAATGAAAAACAAAAGGTGACACCTACACTGAAGGTTTTAGTACTAAAGGTTTAAGTTCTGTAAAAAAATTTGAAAATTATTTCCTCTCTCATTATATTTTACCATTTTACCAGACCGAAGAAACAAGGTACAATACTGCTCATGTTACATTCAAATGTACGGTACCAACAAGCGGAGGTATTTCTAAGGACACGTTTCTAGTCTATTATGTATAAGTTTTGGCAATACGTTCCTATTCACTCCTATATTCAACATGTTTCAAATCATATAAAATTGTTGTTGACAATAATCTTTGACTTTAGAATCATATAACCGAATTATTTAACGAATGATGTGTATTCGAATGATTTGCTCATTTTTCAGATTTCTTCTTGCTTTTTTGTTTACAAAAAAGGTTCATAGTATTAATCATAGATATCAGGGAGAATCTGGTTTAGGCCTGGTTTAAATAGGTGAACTTCAGAGTGTCAGATTTTAATTTACCGCCGTATATATTGTTTCGTCAACGTCATTGTAAGGTAGCAGTTGTTTCTATTTTCATCTCGATTTCTACAAATAACTTGTAAAGAACATATTTTTGAAACAGATAAAAAATATCTGTTTCTAAAATAGAAACAAGAAAGCTATAATTTTACGCAGTTAACTTCAAACAGTCTATCAGAGTTTCCGATATATGTTGTTATTGGTTTTTATTAATGTGGCAATGAACGGTATAATAATTTATATTGTTACGTAGAGAAATTTTTTAAATGCTACAGAAAAAGAGTGCAAGTTCAATCTTGGATCCATATAAAGGAAGGAACCGTTATTTGTTAGGCTTTCAGCAAACGCGATGGAGAAAACGCAACCTTTGGTTTAAAAAATATCAATCGAAATTTGTTTGTGAGTGCTATTACCGTTGTGACTGAGTCTTATTTCTTGGATTCTAAAGACATGAAGTGTACATCTCAGATGTTTATTGCCAGTCTAGGTATTGAACAAATGTTCGGGCGTCTCCATACTGCCAAGTCTCTTCTGCTACAGGAGATGTTTTGTAAGACGCAACGTCTAATTTATTGATTGCAGGCATAGAACCAAGAAAAAAGCGGTATGTAGATTTTCATTTGGGTTTTAATACAGAAAAATCAATTTTCCTCCGTAAATAAGCGCTACCCTGGGATTAGGATGTCAATGGGCCCTCCTATGACCTTTTCAGATTTGTCTTTTGAGCCGAATAAATTCGGTCTCTTAGGAATTTGTTCGTCGATAAGATATCCAAGACTGATTCAGTAGTGCGTTTGTGTTCTTCAGAAAAGTCCTGTTATTT